GCCCTGCACCCTCGTCTGCGGGCCGACGCGCAGGTCCGGCGGCGGGAGGACGTTCGCATAGCCTTGCTCGCAGATGAGCCAGCGCCAGTGCGGCAGCCGCGCGATGGCGAGGGGCACCGAGGACGCGGGGCTGTGGACGCACCGCGTGGCCATTTGAGAGGGGGAGAGGTTCGAGCCGTAGGCGAAGTAGAGCGGTCGTCGTCGTCGTTGTTGTTCCGATTGAGGAGGGCATTTCGGGGTACGGGTAGATGGGTCTCGGCTCGCTGTGGTCGTTGGGCTGGTCAGGTCGATGGTTATCGGGGTGGAGGATGGGTCCGTGGTGAGACTTGGGTCGTGGAGATGCATTTTTTGAGTCGACTGGTTCTCTGTTGGGGGGATGTGGTGTGGTGTGATGTGGATGTGAGGGATGTAATATGGTCTCTTTGAGACCCTTGAGACTTATCCTGTATCACGGGCAAGAGGGTGGTGGTGAGTGATGGGATGCAAGGTATACTGCACAGTATGTAGAATTGAATATATGGATATATGGAAAGTGATGGTGCACTGTACACTGCACTGCTATGGGCTGTATGAATAAATGTATGTATTTATGTATGATTTTGTACGTGAAAGAGAAGTGGAAAAGAATAAAGAAATGGAAAATGGAAACCTGAAAAGAAGCCTAGGCTCTCTCGACGGAGGAACAGGGACAGCCGCCGGCGTAGACAATTAGACTCCGGGGAGGCGGGCGGAAAGGGAGGGGCCGGACTCGGACGGAGGGAGTAGAGTTGTGGTTGGTTGCTTCGTCACCCTTCGTGTCGGGTTCGGCCCGATTGCCGGAGGCGACTGCCGATTCAATTCGTCTTGGGAAACACTCCTTGCAGTCGTAGTCATCTAAGTATGCCTACCGTAGGTAGGGATAAACACTAATACTGATGATATGATATATACGTTTTGATGTACTGATGTACTGATGTACTGTACGTACGGTACGTACGGTACGTATGGTACGTATTGTGCATATACATCGCATTGCATGTATATCACATATACTATGTACGTTTTTCTTTGGAGGTAGGTCTGTTGATACTAAGTACTCGTATGTATGATGCATGCAGGTATGTACAGTACATATGACACCAGAAATTCTATCTCTTCCATGATGGCATCTTAGATCGGTGACCTGTACGTCCTACACAATGTGTAAATTGTGAATCGGGACTCCCTGGGATCGCACCGAATAGCGTCGCTTGATGCCCACTCCGGTCGCCTGTCGAAGCAACGTATACGTCTCCTCGCCGCCGCCCACCATAACCATACTGAGAAGATGGCGCCGCGGAAGGCCACCTGCGGTCAACTGGCTCTCATCGAGATGCGGCCGAACAAGATGTCGCTCGGCGTGTACAGCAGCCAGCCCAGGCGAGGCCGGCCCCGAGTCCGTCGTCTCCCACGATTCCTCCTCTTCATTAGTGTGCGAGACCACTATCACAAGTTTCAGGGACTGACGTGACGGCGGATACGCAGGGATATTGCGCAATTTCTCGGAGAAGCTACATCCGCCGCGCCGAAGCACCAGAACTTGGTGGCTCTGGACAATCTCCCGCGATAGACGGTGATCGCAGAGCTCGCCCGCGAAGTAAATGCTGGACCAGGTGAGGCGCCGTTTTGACAGGTCACCCGTCATCGATACTGTCAAAGCATCGTCCACATCTGGCAATGGGGCCGACCCGAGGCCAGTCGAGACGGCTGCTGGAATCATCAAACGCAGTATTGACGATTTCTGCGGCGGCAGACCCGTCTCAACATGCGCTTCGTCCCGGAGTAGGGTGGACAATGAATTCATTAAGGAGGATAGTACAGTTTTCATGCCAGAGATTGATGGATCGACACCGCCACTGTTGCCATTCACCAAAGCCGAGTCGTGGACGATTGGGCCTCGAGCCTGTTGTGGTGCAGCGGGTTCAAGGCCATCATCTGAGTCATTTCCTCGACGGAGAAGCTCTGGCAAAACATCAATGACGATGTCAATCATGGTTGAGTCGCGTACACGCGTGAAGTTCGGGTCAGTGGGGTCAAGCACATCAAAGGTGATTTCCCGCGAAAGATATACCTTCTCATCCTTACCCAGTGGCATATTGTTGATTACCTGCACCCGAAACTCGTCATTGTCCGAGCTCTTCGCCGTGCCAGAAACCGAGACATCTCGAACCATGCTCAGCCGTAGACCTCCGATGGCTTTCACAAGAATCCCATCCCGGACCCGTTCCAGTGAGCCGGGGCCTACAACCATTCCGGGAAGTGCAGGGAAAGAGATATCGAGAGTTGGGCGAGAGATCAAGGGTGCACTGGTTCCGTTGAAGGGTATCAGCTCCAGTGGCAACGTCCAAGGGTAGAACGTATAGTTTGTGGGTGATGAGAGGTCCGATACCGATACACTCGGATGGTCCTGAGCATATTCAACGAGAGGTCCCTCAGGAACGTCTCTGCTGGGCATGAGGTGTAGGCGAGCCAAGTTCGCGGCATGGAAAACATCAGGACGTGCTGCCGTGGACGAACCCACCAACGTAGGGGGAAGAGGTGCCATTTGGCAAACAGGTTCCTTGCTTTTCACACCCACCGGTGTCTGTCGGCGTGCATGGAGTGCCGTGCTGCGCTTGGGTATCAGGAGTGGATGGCCCTCTGTAGAAAACACAAACGGTTGGTCCAGCTTGTTTAACGGGTGCTCGAAATCGAAAAGGAGAAACATGTATTTTGCGGTTTCTCCTAGGAAAAAACTCTCCATTCGATCATTCAGCTCGCCATTACGGACATCCTGTATACCAGCCCAGCCGCACTTGGTCCAGCATCGGCGCTTGAGATCACTCAGGACCATCTCACCTACATGCAGATACCATGGATCTTTAGTGGCCCGGTACAAGTAGTAGGTAGATTCCACGAATTCCGGACGGCCACCGTACCATGCCAGACCCTGCTCTATGTTTCCCGTGGCGACATTCCATCTTTCAGGCAGGCCAGAGAAACGGTTCCAGATGGCAGTGGTGAGAAGATGGATTCCAACTGCCTCATCTACTTCACCGGCCAGCGCCAACAAGCCTGGGTAAAAGGCGCTGAGACTGTCTATCCAAAAAGCACGGGTCGCTCCTGTAAAGATGTCGCCCTGGATGAGATGGGGGTGTTGGTGTCCATCTCCCCGATATAAGTGCCTCTTGATGGACGCATGAGACTCCTGCCATACTTCTAAGAAAGCCTGCGCAGAGTGTTCGTGCTCACCCAAGGGCAGGAAGTAGTCATCCAAATGATGCCATGGACTGCTTGTGTTGTGGGGGAATCGCTCTCCCGAGGAGAGCAAAACGTACGACTTGAATGCGTATTCAAAAAAGCTATCAATCCCCGCACCAATCTATCATTAATATGGTAAGCAAAGCCCGGTTTATCGCCTAACCATCGGAAAGTGCTCACCCCAGTGTACGAGTGTACCCATCGGCCGGATTCAGCGTCAATACCAGATCCAATCAAGCCAATATCACTCCTACGCGCCCAAACGGCCCAAAAAGCCCTCTTCGCAAGCTCTTCGTAACGACCATCACCTGTGAGTCGGCTTAGAACGGTAAATTCCAGGACAAGACTGCCGGCGCCAGCGCTGCATGTCTCCGTAGTTTCTGGGAATGAAGCCCAGCGGCTTTTCTGGCAGCGTTCGGAGTTTGACCCATTACACGGGTGATCCGCATTGAGCGGCGAATTCGCATAGAAGGGCTGCCGTTGAACTCCGTGTCGCAGGTTGACCCGCGGGTAAGGAAGACCGGTGTCTGTATAGAACGCAGGCAGTAGACGGTTCCCCAGATCGACCGCGAGCCGCAAGAGTTGACCGTCGTATACAAACCCGGTATTCCACATGATACCGTGCCCGTCACCCTGGAAAGAGGACTTATCCCAGGCTTTTGCGAAGGCGGCGTCTCTATCTGAAGGATTGTACCCAACGATGGGAAGGTCACCCACAGCAAAGAGATGAGCACTGAGAAGTCCGCCTAACGTTATCAATCTTAGTCAGGGAGGTGTCTCTTCATCGGCTCTCGTATGGACGTTATTGGCGCTTACCTAGCCCTCGGATGACCGTCTCAAACACCTGAACTTTGCTATTTATGTCAAATCCCCGGCTCCGTTCGCCCTGACCTGCAGGGCTATCTGAACCATCTCCATAAAGCGTGACGAAATCTTCCACACCCTTTTGAAAGTAGCCAAGAGCCTTTTGGCCATCCTCTGGACTCGACGCAAGGATAGCCAAGGATGACAGACTGTCGATTAGAGTCAGGGAATAGTTCCCAAGAACATCATTGAGCTCAGCGTGCGCGGGATTATCTCGGTCGCGGACCAACGGGCGACAAGTCAAGGGGCGAAGCTCATCTTCAGGAAATGCATGTTGAATGTAATTATCGAAGCCGTGATAGAACATATGCTCGGTCTCCTTCCTGGTCATGGATAACGCGAAGTGCGGTTAGCGGAATTAACTGGGAACATGATTATCGCTTTGCAAGACCTCACCTGAGCTCTCTAACTCGATCGATCCTCATTCCCTGGGCCATAGCAATCCATGACGACAATAGCAAGACCCAGGTTATCACCCATTCTGAACGGAGGTTGGACATTTGAAAGCGCCAACATCCCTAACGCATTACCGCAATGGCGAGTCGGAAATCACTAGCATGTGAGCGCGGAAATGGCTTGGAGCCACGAAAGAATATACGAAACAGTGTCCTTCTGGCCCAACGAGCTTTGTAACTCTTTTTTTGAGGGAGCGGAAGAAAGGAGGGAGAGGGTAATGTTGCGGTGGTGGGCAGCAGCCTCGCCGCGGGAGCAGCACGTGAGATCGCATCAACCTCCGCGGGATTTGGCGCAACCACGCATCCGAGCGAGCGGCCAGATATGCCTTTACAATTGATTTTACCCGTTTCTTACCCCTGTCTTTGCTATTATCAGAGACAGACCGATAGCAAAGTTACAGTGATGACTTTCTGAGCTTAATTCTGATTCTTAAAAAACTCCAATGTCAAGGACCTAAATTCAATATATGATGGCGCTTATTCAATGCTGCTGCTGTCATGCCACTAAAACTCCCGCTTGAACCCAGACAACCAAAAGATCGATAAGACAAGATAAAACTGGCAGATATGAAGTGGTGCATATGTTGGGGGTATATGTCGGATAAACGGAAAGAATATGGCTACGGAGGCTTGAATTCCTGCAAGGCAGGATTTCTATCCAAGACAGCCGCACCGAGCGGGCGTAGAGCAGAACAAGAGGGAGTCGAGAATATCAATGTTAGCGGCCTGATTCCTCTGGAGCATGCCGTTGCATGAAGGATCGTGGCTGTGCTTCAATAACGTAGTCGATCCCATTATCGGAGATATAACTAGGCGGCCGGGGTGTTTGAGACTTGTTGCTAGGACCGCGTTCGTCGACTTTTGGTAACGGGGATTTTTTATTCACACGTTGCCAATACAACAAGTCAGGGTTCAAGCGCTATGAGAAGATCAGCTGGCGCAAACTAGTGGGACCATACTCATCTGAAAACTTACCACGCTGCCTCTCCAAAGACCATACGCTGGAGGAGGTGCAGTTATCTTTTCCCGAGCAGCGTCACGGCTTTCAGTCATAGCATCCTCATCCGCCGCCAGAACGACGTGGATGGGATGTGACGGTTGTGCATAACCAGAGGGTCCTGCCCTGCTTGGTATGCGGTTTGTAGCGATCCCAGAATCAGGTCTTGGTACTATTGCCATGAGAAAACGAGTTAATGCATGGCAGAAAACGATGCCAATTATCAGTATCATGAAGATCAAAAGAATTTGAAGCTCCCGGCCTAGAGTAGTGCGCGAAGCAGCGAATGCAAGGTATACAGCGACGACTGCAAGGAGGAACACTCCAGACGCAGTCAATGTGATAAGCCGCCTGCGAACCTTCCTCTCTGCAAAGATCGAGGTACATGAGCGCCTGCCACAGTTGGGACTGCCAGTGTTGTCTGCCAACGCCAGATCTTGTGACTCTCTGCACAGGCCCATTTCAGCTTGCGACTCATGGCCATCCCGTTCTGTAGTTAACTGCATTTCGATAGGAACGTGTGTCCGCTGTGGCGCATATACTGATGCAGGAGCACTTCCGGAATTGTTGAATAACGATACATGACCTTCGCGTAGGCGAGGTCCCTGGTCTGGAGTGCGATCATCACCAAGGAGTTGTTGCTCATCATCTCGGCGACGGTCATTTGTCCTTAATGTGATACGTTGGCCAAGAGGCGAAGTGATGTGGGCTTGATGATCCGATCTGCGAGTGTTGTCAGACCATGCTGAGTTGGGCAGCATGCCGGAGTTTAAGTTGGAATGTGTCGATTCTGGATGAGACAGCCGAACCGATTCCATATTGAGAACCTTTAACGGTCAATGACTGACATCTGGTCTGGCCCCAGCGAGAAAGAGATGAAGAATCAGAGAAGACGTCGAGATAGAATTGGATTTAATATCCAGAGGAGAGAGGACTCAGGCGACAGACCCTCGAGTCGCAATGCGGTTTGTTTGTGGATGGAAGTATGTATGAATCCGAGGCCACTTCCGCATCCGTTCAGCAACACACAAACAAGCTTTGAAGAGCGTACACCGTGACGGAAACTTCCTGCGAAGATCGACTTAAATGGAGCAAAACCGGAAATCCCAGGCAGATTCGGTGTTTAGCGACGAGAATAGGTAAGTAGGTTGAATTCGGCGTTATAAGTTCATGATGATTCAGCCCAAGTTGACTGAGGGGCACAGGGAAGCAGCATACGGGATTCCCGACCGCGAAACGAGAGCTGTCCAGCAACCAGAGGATCGGTATCCAATGCGCGAAGTAACACAGGCAAAGATGTTTGAATCAAGTCAATAGCAGCAGCAGGCTAAGCTTTCGGTCCAGGCTGTGTGAAGGTTAGATCAGTGGCTATACTCGGTAATGGAAAACCGGACTTGATAGCGAAGAAAATGAATATTATAGTAGCTGCAGCTAATTGGTAAAAAGGCAGTGAGCAAGTGAGAGCGAGTATCCTGAGACGAAGGTAATGAACAAGGATATGTGATATGTGCACAGGGAATGACGAAATGATAGATGTTGACTGAAGAGAGAAAGGAGATGGTCTGATCGATAAGAAGTCAGTTTGGGTAAGTTAGCGAGGGGCAGGATATGTAAGTCGGGAAAGAGGGAGAGATGATCATCTCATCATACTAGATATGAAATAAAAGATTGGGTCAAAGAGAAGGAAGAAGGAGAAATAGCAGAACGTAGGCGAGAGAAACCGAAAGACCGAGAGACAGAAAGAAAGAGACTTGGTAGGGAGAGACAGAGAGAGAATGCGGCGTATGTTGAGCAGGGGGAAGGAACAGCAAGCCGCGGCCTGCCCAGTGGTCTCCAGTTGTTTCCATAAGTAGTAACTAGACGACTAAACTAATACTAATTTTGGAGCCACTCAGTGTAATGGAGTAGCTCAATTCGCTGGTCGCGTTGGCGGTGTTAGCAACGATTGACAATTGACTAACAAATAACCTACAGCTTTACTTCAGTACCAGTGCCGATTATCTATAATTAGTATTAGTTTTTGACTCACAAACCTGCTGCTCAATTGATCCCTTGGTTTTGTTGCTTTCCAAGTTATATTCATACTTTTTTCTAGGCAATCTGCCATGAAGCATTTACCCCTGGATGATCCACGTTTGCCGCTAGGGTCTACGGCCACACTTCAGAACCAACAACACATGGTAAACACAGCTGATCCTAGTACTCTCACTCTCCAATGATGTCATGGTTGATATTGGGTACCATATAATGAATTGTTTGGCTGCTCAGCCTGCATGAGATATATGTACAGTACACCAAATGGAGGAGCTATACAACTACAGAATCGGACAAAAATGCTTTGTGGTGTGGTGTCCCGCTGATGATTACGTAGATTGAGGCAACTCAGTGGGAGATCTACTTGTAGCATTTTCCTATCATGCGCGCTTCAATTCTCGTCCTTGATTATTCAAGTAACTCTCCTTGCCTAGAATGGCCCAGGCCTCGCTTGGTCGTGCTGCTGTGATCATCATGACCCAGAGCTATACGAACCTCCGGGAGGTTTAGCTTGATATGACGAGCGTCGTATATTCCAGTTGCTTCTTATGCGGTATCGTGGCGTTGATTGCGTCGCTAGATGTCTGATATAGCCCCGAAGACAAGTTCACTTGCCAAGTTCGCCGAGCAGAAGAGTCCGATCAGATGACCCGGACACAACTATTGAGAATGAGTCAGTCCAGAACAATCAAGCAAAGGACAGAAAAGGACTCCACAGCCAATGACTTACTGATGGGCTCGTTGTTTGGTGAGAACCGAACATCATTAACAGTTCCCTTATGTCCTGGTAATTTGTATAAAAGTTTCCCGCTCTTCGAGTTCCACACGACGACACTTCGGTCACCGCTTCCGGTGGCGATCTTCTCACCCGTCGGGTCCCAACTGGCCCGAATCAAATTCTCTTCCAGACCAACTGGGGCGCCGTCGAAAGTTCGAATGTGTCGATTGGTTGGTGCAAAAGGCCGAACGTCCCATGTCCGTACAGTAGAGTCAAAAGAGTTGGAGAGAAGCGTTTGCGAATCTGGCGATAGTTCGAGCGAGGTGATGGTATGCGTGTGTCCTGTTAAGGAATATACAATACTTTTCTTTCGAAGATCCCACGCATGAATGGCGTTGTCGATACCACCACTGAATATCTCATTTCCAGCCTCGGAGAGGGCCACCGAAGTGATAGGAAGCTCGGTTTCCAGACAATCGATAGCGTCTTTCTGCCGAGGATCCCAGATGCCTATGCTGCCATCATTGCTAGCGCTGACCAGTAACTCCTGGCCTCTTTTGCTGATATCAAGACAATTGATATAATCTTCATGACCCACGTGTCGTCGAATCCTTTGTCCCGTTTCTAGATCCCAGCTGGCAAGCGTCATGTCTGTCGATGCGGAGAATATCGTCTTGGAGTCTCGGGACCATTGAAGATCACGAATAGCGCCCCGATGACCCGACAGCACGCCATAATTCTCACATTCTCCATAAGTATTCCAAAGCACTATTTGTCCCGACGTTAGCGTCTGGTTTTTGAAGTCGAAAAAAGCGGAGTGGGTTGCTCACAGATTGATCTGTCCATCGATCCTGAAGCAATGTGCTGACCCGTTGGATCGAATCGTACAGAGAAAACCTCGCCAGAATGACCTGTCATATATGTTAACCGACAAGAAATTGCCTACCCTCCGCGCAAGCCTACCTGTTAATTCCATGATTGGGGCCTGGAGCCCGCTGGTGCGGGGAACCTGTTATCGGGATCAGAACAGACACTCCAGGTAAAAATTTTCAAGCTATTCAGTGACCTACTGCTTGCACGAGAGCCCCATTTTGCGAAGAACCCTTGACCACAGCTGCACTGTTATCGATACTAGCATCGGACTTCTTTCGCTTGACGACTAGCTGGTTGGAAGACCCGAAGGCCTCTTGAGCAGGTCGCTTCTCGCCGGACATCATTTTGTCATGAGCTGGTTCGCCAACAGAAGAGAAACACGTGATAGTCGACAGGCGCGGAAAGACACCGAGAACTGTTGAGATAGGGATTCAAAAATGTGCTGGGCTAGACTTGTAAGGTTATGGGGGGTAAGAGAGCGCTGAGTGAGTACCTGGTCTTTCTCCCGAGCATCGCAATGCTGTGAGACATTAGCCGCGATAGCCGCCCGCGGATCGTCCACTAGGCGGTGAAGCTCCGCCTCGGTCCCCAGATCAAGTGGGGAGAGGAGTTCATTGTCAACATTCGGCCGGCTACCCAAGCAGCTGAGATCGGATATCCTGTTCTCTTGAATTTTTGCCCTCAATCCTTGATAGACCTCAGCGCCCATCATGTCATCAACTACCAAAGCATCCAGGATTGGCGAAGAGTGAGCAAGGCCTCAGTACCACCTCATGATCTGCACATCCACTAACATGACTACTATTGTGTTAGAGTATGGAAGTAAGTGAGCGGCGCAAGAATTTTGGTGTCCTGGGGCAGGTTCTCCAGTGAAGGGACACAGGGACTCACCACCTCGCTTCGTTAGAACAAGAGTCGACAAAGTCAATGCGGAGCTGGTCACGTTGACATATGGAACGATTGTCGCACAGCTGTGTCAGGACTATGACGGAAACTATCAGGAGGTCAACAAGCAGTTGGAAAAGATGGGCTACAACATCGGAATGCGCCTCATTGAGGATTTTCTTGCGAAATCGAATGTAGGCCGGTGTGCCAATTTCCGGGAGACGGCAGACATGATTTCTAAGGTAGCGCTTGTTACTTCAAATCTCGCTCGGGCAACTTGGGATCAATGAGCTGACTTCTTGGATGTGTGACAGGTCGGATTTCGGATATTCCTCAATATCGCCCCCACTGTAACGAATTGGACAAGTGACAACAATCAATTCTCGTTGGTATTTGATGAAAACCCGCTTGCAGACTTTGTTGAACTACCAGACGACGGGCGAGCGCAAGATGAGCTCTGGTTCTCAAATATACTGTGCGGTGTTCTACGGGGGGCTTTAGAGATGGTAATAAACTTCTGATCCAGCCAAATACTCTCACGCGGCTACTAATTCCATCAACAGGTACAAATGCAGATCGAGGCGCATTTTGTAAGCGATGTACTGCGAGGAGATGACACCACGGAGATGCGCGTTTCACTTGTGAGGTACATTGAAGATGAGATGCCACCTGAGGAGGAATAAACGCGGCGGGGAGTGTGTTGCATAAATTAAGTATTATTGGTTGAGGCGTCCGGTGTTTGCAGGTTTTACATCATCTTAATCTGCAGCTGCAACGGTTGATTGAGATCACCTGTTTTTTATGATTGATGGAGCTACAAGTAAAGTAAACGTTCTATATGCGATGCATGTACATTCATATACTTATAGAGTGGGGCCATGAGGGCTGCACAAGGGGCAAGGGATAAGGGACAAGTGTGAAATGATCAAACCCTGACGGCAGTTATCGAATTCGAAGGAGCGACTTTGTAATCAAAAATGAAGAACGTGCAATAGACAATTGCATGAAAGAATAGTCCAGGATCAGATCGTAGATTGGGTTGATTTGGGTCGGTGAAGATCACTCTGCCCTAATTGTACAGTACGGAGTACTACTCATAGTTATCTGACACTTTGGACATTTGCATAGATTGAAGCGGCATGAATTCATCTAACACTTTCCTTTATTATTATCATTATCACCACCACTACTATGAAATAGCTGCGAGGGAAATAAGTATCTAAAGATGATAATGATAAAAATCCTTCAAACACCATGAGCTCTATGCTTTGTATGTACAGTACATATTTAAGGCTGAGATGTGAAATTCGATGGGACGATGACATGGGGAGATGTGGCCGGGAGCCACGTGATGCACTAAGCCCCAATAGGCAGCGGACAACTTCCCTTGACTGTGCTAAGAATTACGCAGGGTCCCAGTCCTGGAGGACTGCGACTTTATCGATAGATAGAGCAACTTAAAATGTAGAAGCTTAGAGCATTTGACATTTAAAGTGCTTGCAAAGTTTCATACTTGTTGGCATTCACTACGAGTAATGGCTTAACTGGATCTGCTGAATTGTTAATTCAATTGATAGGCATGTACCAGTACTGTTGCATCCAACAGCAGTCTCAATCTTGGCCCCGACTATATTCGCCATCGATAGGTGATTTGTGTCGCGCGGGATAGATCAATTCCCTTCCCATCGTCATTCTGGTCAGTACCGATCCATCCTTTTTAGACTCAGCGTCTGTCTGATCTGGTGGTCTTTGTTGATTCCAAACGAAGAGTGGTGATCATACAGCATGCGCGTTTTTTTTAGACACATATGTATATCTATATATATAGATATTTTTTTTTCTATTTTTTTGCTGCTCACAAATCTATGTTCTGTGTGTACTTGACTTTCAGAAGCTAACCAGCTCTCATCAATTGTCTAGATACATCACTTTGACCCGATCGGTCTTCTGTTTTCTTGCCTCTGGAAAAAAGACTTGGCTCTCCACCTTCCGTCCCTTTCCCTTCTTCCTTCCCCTACTCAACTCTCCTCTCTTTTGTCTTTTGATTTTTCTGGTCCTTTACTGGTGCTGGTAAGTTTAGTTTGTCATAGTTCAACGGTTTGCCTCTTTGTTCCTGTTGTCATCATTATTATCACTTTCACCATCATCATCAGCATCATCATCATCAATATTTTTTTCCCTTTGCTTCTATTCTTTCCTGGGGTGGTTGTGTTGCCGCCATATGTGGACGTGCATGCTGAAATATACGCCCAGCCAACAGCATCTCCCAGCCCTCCTGCGGCGTTCCGGTCAAATTCTTCCGTTCCGAACAAGCGATTCACGCCCAGCCGGCAGTGATTGAACAGCCCAGCAACTCCAGGCACCGCGCCTGATATCCACGTCCTCCCACCCACCAGAGAACACCTCAGATCCACCGCTACACCTTGTCCTAACCTTCGCCTCTCCTCCCTCCTCCTCCTCCCTCCTCTCCCACGCGCCCCCCCCTCTCCCTCCACCTTTTCCTCGAATCTGCCGGATCTCTCCGTCTCTTTCCACTTTCTCCCTCCCACACACCCACCCACCCCATTCCCTTTTTCTGCAGGGGCTCTGGTGATTTACTCTTAGCCCCTCTTGAAGTCCTCCTTCTCCTCCGCCTCTTCTGGCTTTCCAGGTGGTGGTACTTGTCCTTGCCTTTTGAGACGCCTCCTGGGCCGTCTTCTCGCTCCTATACGTTGTCCCGTCCTTTGCCTACTCGTGTCGCCTGTCGCCGCCCCCATCTCTCATCTTAGCTGATTCACCGCGCATTCTCGAGCGGCTGGGTCTTTGTACGAACATAATACTCTTGTCTCTGTGTTGCCTTTCCATCTCTCCCGACACTGCTCCCTTTGACGATCCATCTTTTTTTGTGTCGGTCAGCGACAGATTCTTTCGTACATACTTGTTCCATTCGCTCCCGGGTGAGACACGCTGGTCTTGAACCGAAAATCATCGCGACTGCGTTGTCCTTCCGCGCCACATCGAGTCAGATAGGCGATTTCGCGTCTGATTATAGTACTTTCAACTATCTCGATATCGGGCCGAAAGCAGCTGTGATCTAACATCTCCCCCATCGCCTGGGTATCCGCGCGTCTCCTCTTTCTGCTTGTGGTGAACCATTTTGCCGTGAGACGGTGGATGCGCGTTGGAAATATTCGATACCAATAATCGTCCGGTGAGGGTGGCTTACCCCTTCGTGTGCCACCATGAACCAAATGAACGTGGCTGGGATGAACCCTGGTGCGGGCGGTCCTGTGGGAGGTGTTCCAATGATCAACAACGGTTCTGTGGCCCCTCGCAACGATGCAAACATCCACACTATCCCTGAGAGCACGGTCGGCAACCTCAACACTTTTATCTACGACTACTTTCTGAAACGCGGTTACTATGAGTGCGCCAGAGCTCTCGTGAAGGATGAATCTGTAAAACTCAATACCGAACCCCCTATCAAGACGAGCCCCGGCCATCGTCGCGATGGTGATGTGAATGGGGTCGATGGAGATGCAATGATGACCGATGGAAAGGATGGGGATAAGAAGATACCCGATGATCTACCTCGCCCTCACATCTCGAGCGAAGGTCAGCAGTCGTCTTTCCTTCTCGAATGGTTCAGCCTCTTCTGGGAGTTCTTTTGGGCCCAGCGCAAGAAGGGGAACAGTGCTGATGTGCGACAATACCTCAATCATACCCAGGTATGTATCATTCGCAAGATCGCAATATACCTTGGAGTCTAACTGGGGCTTTGTAGAACATTATGCGCCTCAGAGAGCAACACCAAAATCAACTTTTACGGCAGCAGCCGCTGATGCCTGGCCAGATGGGACAAATGAACATTCGACGCAACGGCATGGTTCCCCAACCTCTTCAAAAGACCGCTCTGCAGAACAATACTCCAGGCCTGTATGCTCATTCTTCTGCATTTCCTGCAGGTTGCAGGTGATATACTGATTTGTTACATAGAACCCAACAACAATTGCAACAGCTTCAAAAAAATCAACATCAACAACTTCAAATGATGCAAATGACTCGAGAGCACTCCGACATGGATATGAACGGCCACCGACCGCAATCCCCCTCGTCCGCAGAAAACGCCCCGTCTCCCTCGAAGCGGCCCCGTCTTGAAGGTGGCCTCATGAATGGCCAGCAATTAGCTCCCAACGGACGCGCTCAAGTCCAGGGCATGCCAGGCCAACCGAACCCTCAGACCGCTCTCTTGATGCAGAATGGACTCAACCGGGCGATGAACCCCAATCAATTCCAGGCTTTCCCGCAGTCAGGACCTGCTGCGCAGCAGAAATCTATCCAGGTATATGCTCAGAACTTGGCCATTCATCACTCACGCTCAGCAATGAATAACCAGGGTATGCCGAATGGTATGATGAACCCCGGTGTCATGCAAAACCAGACGGATATGGTGTCCATGCCAGATGGCCAGGTGTATCCCATCAACGGCGACTACTATGGCGCGAATGGTCAAATGGCCCAGGTCCGGAACGGGATGCAGACACCTGGCGGTCAGCCCGGAAACCACGCTCTTCAAGATTATCAGATGCAACTTATGCTGCTTGAACAGCAGAATAAGCGGCGTCTGATGATGGCTCGCCAAGAGCAGGATAGCATGGCCCGTCCTGACGGCCAGCCCCCGCTGCCTGGGCAGCCGGGCCTGCAACCAGGCACTTCTCCCCAAGGCAGCAGGGCGGGCACGTCGCCAAATCCCAACGATCAAATGAAACGGGGCACGCCGAAAATGCCCCAAACCGGTCTCCCCGGCTCCCCGAGTGCCGGCGACGCTATGGCCCAGGGTCGTGGTTCTCCCGCTTCCATGAACTTCGGTAATCAGATCCCTCCTGAAATGGCCGGCCAGTTCTTTGTGAAGGGTATGCCCGATGGTATGGCCGGCCCCAATGGTATGCGACCCCCCAGCTCCAACCCAGCGTTTAGCGCCCCTCAGATGGGTCAACCCATCCCCACTGGCGCCGGAAACCGGGTACCCAGTGGAAATTGGCAACCCCAGCAGGGTGCCCAGCAACCCATGGCTCCGCAACAATCGCCTGCAACCCAACCTCAGTCGACCGGAACTCCACAGGAGAGGAACGCGATGCCACCTCCCCAGGCTCCTCCTGCAGCCGCCAACACTGGCCGCACTCAGCCACCCTCCCCCCAGACGGCCGCAGCCGCCCCACCGACGCCGCAGCAGGCGAACAAGCCTGCCCCTAAAAAGAAGGAGACTAAGGACACTCGGAAGGTATGTATTCATGGGCAAATTGCGCATTCGTGGCTTCGTCCATGTTACTAATTGAGATCGCAGCGGCCTTCGAAGAAAGCAACAACTGCTGCCGCAGCGGCCGCAGCCTCGGCAAACGCGGCTGCCACACCATCCTCCGAAGCCGAACACCCGCCCACTCCAACTCCATCCACCCCAATCACCCCTCAGCATCCAGCCTCGTTCAACAAGGCGGGTGCCAATGTTACGACTGGTGCTCCTCAGCAGCCTACGTCTGCCCCCGCACCTCAGCCGCTCGTGCAGCCCCCACCCGATCAGAGTCAGCAATTCGGCGAGCTTGGTGTTCCTGATGTATGTCATCCAAATCCTGGGATTCCCACATGGATTGCTGTAAACGAGAAACTGTATGCTGACTGCCATAGCCACAGGTGTTCAACCTCGATTTCAGCGCTCTAGAGAACCCAGACATTCTCGAGAACTTTGACTTCGACACATTCCTCAACACCGATGCCGATACGGCTGGGTTTGGATTTGATCCCAATATATCGTATCCTACCGACGGTGTTGAGACCGGTGCCGGGGATGGCCTATGAATGTGATCCGACGGTTCTTCAGTTCTTAACTCATATACCCTTGCTTTGTACATTTCCATAAACTTCGACATGTGCTGTGCTTCTGCTCTATTTTCTTCCTTGCTGCCGTCACTAACCGTCTCTCACTGTTGACATGATTTGGATACGTGCTTTACTGACAAGGCGTTGGCGTATCCGCTCTGCATATTCCTTCCTTTGCTCTGCCGACAACGAGGTGCTTGAAAACTGGCTCCGGAGGAGATAGCTTGCATACAAGCCGCTCTCTCTATGCTCTACGCGTTTTTGTGTGGCTTTTGTTCTGAAATTCCTTCTATTTCTTCTACTATTATTATTTGATTAATTTTGTCCCTTTTATCAATTCTCCCCCCTTGAGGCCACCTTCGGGTGTGATGTTTCTCTAGCGTTAGCCATGCAGACCCCTTATCCACTCCTACCTTAATACTCGGGATCCCCATCACAATATGTACGTCCTTGGCTGGCCTTTTTCTTCTCTCCTTCTCCAAGTCCCCTCCCTCCTTTCCATTCTTCTCTACAAACAGGTTCTACTTGTTTCGATCATTCTATCTTCCCTTTTTTCTTTTTTTTTCCCTTTGTCTTACTTGCTATCTTCTTTCTTTCTTTTTTTTTTTTTTTGAATTTGGCGTTATCAATGAGGTTCTAGTTGCTACTTTGGCTCTTCTTACGGGAATGGTTTTATGAATCGAGGAAGAGGATTGACGTCTTCTCTTAGCCTTTTTCTTTCTGCTTCACTCCAGTTTTACATCGTACTCAATTCCAGCCGAGATCTGCGTTGCAATATTTGCTTGCCCTCCTGCCTATATGCGATTCTCTATTTATGTTGTGCTGGAATACCTGCTCGCCCGCCTTCTCTCACAAGAGATCTGGTGCGCTTCAGCCGGCCTACTGCAAACCAGGCCCATCCAGTGAACTTTCTTGTCTTGCCAGGGCATGGTAAAAGTGATCATAGCAATTCCATGTTACAATAGGTCATCGCCGCTGTTTCATGACTCACATATTCAGTAAAATAGTCAAGTCTCCATCAGCGCAGCTGGAGCCATCCACATGGAGAACACTTCTACTGCATTCGGACCCAGACACATCCAGTCCTTTTCCCCCACTCCTGGAAACAAACCCGCCATCGTACAACCCGCGATGACACCGGAATTGACATATCCCTCGGAAACAAACAGACGATGCACAGGAAACAATGTCTCCCCGTGAGCACTTTTTGCATCTGGCATTGATTCAGGGTTGGGTAACCGACAGCTGGTTTCAGCAACAAAAACGCACTACTACTGGTGATCATGCATCAGAAACCCTTCATTCTTGGCTTTCCACTGTTCGACACTCTGACGCTGTTTCGCGACGTTGATCTCAAGCTCTTCATCCTCTGCGACCATCTGTATCAGGTACTTGACCACCTCTTCGGCACAGGCTTGTTCGGCCAGTGATCTGTTGTCCTGCAGACCGGTCACGGGGCCGATGGCGCCGGCGCGCCGCAGGAATGGGTCACTCTTGAAGTAAGCGCCTGCAGTATATTCTCCGAGCGTGTCGATCAAGCGCCCGTCCTGTCTATCAACTCGGATCTCGGGGTATTCCAAACGGAGGAGATCGCAGACCTCTTTACGTAAAAGTATATCGTTAGCAGCCTGGCCAACAAACACAAGAGCAAGCACGTTAGATTTACTTTGCAATCTTTCAGTAGACGAACCCAGACCACGTATCTGCAACTGGACTTGACGGGGCGTTACTGCCCACCTCTTTTCGTCTTTCTTGACAGGTACTTCAATTGACGCCAACCTGGAGTGTTGAAGTGGCAACATATTCGAGTTTCGAGGGACGCTTTTTGGGCGCTTGCTGTTGCCATCAACCTCGTTAGGGAACCCAGCTGAGAGCTCATGTTCAGCTTGTCGTTTTCTCTGATGGGACTGCTCGGTGCGTCCACGCGGCTTCTTGCGAGAGGCTTTCGCATGGTGGGAACTTCCCCATATGTAGGTCCGCGTCTGGAGAGGGTCCCTCGGAACCAAGGCGAGCAGCCTAGTATCCATCCCCTCTAGAGCAAGCGTGCCCGCAAGATTACTACTTGCTTCAGAGCCATCGATGTATAGATGCTGCAGAGCCAACAAGGCGCATGATCTTTGTGAGTGTTGATCTTCAGCATAGGTCCCAGCTCTGCCAGTGTAGGTCGTACGGTGGACCTGAACCTTATGATAAAACTCGTTCTCGTGCATGACTCTAGTGTAGCGGGGCGATTCAAAGCCGTTGTGAGCACAAAACTCTGCCATGAAGCTGGTCAGATGGGCCTAAATCATGTGGTGACAGAGTGTCTTGCCTTGGAGGAGATCAACCCAATCCCAATCGACCGACGATTCAAGGTTGTCAAAATCATCGGGCAAATTCCAATCCGAAAATTCAGGCTGCAGCTTCTTCAATGCAGCACGGCAGATATCGGACTTGGCTTCTTTCTGAGTATCATAGATGGCTGACTTGATGATAGTGTACCCATACATGGTGAGCTTGACACCCCAGCGACGACTTTTCGAAATATTGAACTGGAAACGCGGAAGGAGCAGTGCCTGAGTCGTGAGAACACCAAAGCAAAAGAGAATCACATCATCTTCCAGGAAATCTAATTCTACATCTGCCAAACGTGAAATCCTCGCGGGTGAATCCTTCATGTTCCACGCTTCGACGACAACAACCGCTGGCTTGCGCTCTTGAGGCTCTTCTTCGTTCCAGATATTGTGGCCTGGTTCGTGTTTTAGATTCAAGGGGGCAAAGGAAGGCACAATGTGGGGTTGTATGAGACGTGGCGTTGGGAATACATGAGGTGTAGGTGGTGGAAGCGGGTTCTGGCTCTCTGCTGAAGTAGACGCCGGATCAATGAGTTTCCAATATGGCGATGAATCATAAGCCCAATGTGCAAACCCCGGAGGCGAGCTGTACTGGTACTGTGATGTTACATCTGTGAAGGATGTACTCGAAGTGGAGGATGCTGCTAAAACCTGGTGTGGGAGGAGGTGCTGTTTGTCCATGGTCAGCTAAATTTGAGAGTTTATGAAAGGGCTGATGACAAGTAACTGAAGGAAATGGAGTTCAGTTTTCAAGGGAGAGAAAGGGGAGGCGAAGAAAGCAACAAGTAAAATGGGACGTGAGTAGAGAGAATCAAGAAGGCAGAGGGAGAAGAGAGGAAAGGGCAAGTGAAGGGCACACCTTCCCATTGGGAAAGAAACCAACCCATGTGAGAATTTGTTTCGTTGAATTGACATTGCAATGCAATTTCTCGATACACATGCATGCTAACCATGTTAATTTTGCCTCCGACGCCTGACAGACTCTTTCGATAGGGATAGATATATAGGTATGATCAACGAATGTCCAGTATCAGTCCAGTGCCCAGCAACCCAGCATCAGTTCCATGTACTGTACCTGCACGCCTGTTGATGGAAACGGAGCATGAATCACGCGTAAAGTAACACAGAAGGTAGAGTTCAAGGTGAAACGATCATCCGACAATGAAACATATGAAAGAGGCTGTGCCTAGTAGTAATGTACCGATAAGACTAATCGAACTCTGCCACATCCAAGGCCGTGCCGGCAGCAAGCGACGGTCTCGTCTCAAGTGAGCCATCAAGGTTTGCATGATAAACCAGATGTCCACCCTTAGATAAGTCTTTAGCGGGAGACAGCAAGATGGGCACCTGTCTGGATTCGTGAAGATCCTCGCTGCCACCAGCAGAGCCGGCCGATAGATCCGCCTTGGGATCGGATGGAGTACCCCCAATTCCGCTGGTACGTACTGTAGGTCTTACCGGTGTCTGGCGAGCTTTGCCACTGTCTTTTCCGGATGTCTCCGCCGAAATTTCATTCTCTTTGTTCTCGTAAGATAGACCTTCCTTGCGACTCTTGACATGCGTGCTGGGACTGGCATGCACCTTGCCTGTTGCTGCAGCGTCAGCAGCCGGGTTTGTCTTCGTGCTTGGAGCCGTCATTTCACTGGTCTCGGGCACCGATGTCTCTCTCATTTCGGATGCTCGTCCTGTGCTCTTTGAATAAGACGCAGATCGAGCTCTCGCCGCCGCCGCCGAAAGCTTAGTCCCCGTGGGCAACGCAGTCGAAGGTGTATTTGTCGGCGCGTACGTGCCACAGTTGAGGGGCGCAGGACTCAGCGCTTCTAACAACTGAGTGTACGACTCCTCGTCGATAGGGGTAACGATACTAGGATGCTTGCTGTGTTCATAACTGATTCCCGTCATGCTTGAAATGGCGCGACTACTACTGGAATTGGACGTATAGTCTGGCATAGGCACATCTTCCCGGGACGCTCTAGCTCCTCGGTGGCGTGCAGCCAAGTCGAGCACGCAGGGGTCAATGAAGGGATCGGTTACGAATTGTTCTTGAGGCAGCCATCTGGACTCGCCTGGTTGGCCTTGCCATTGGGGCACCTGCCGCTGATAATTGCGGTAAGTCCAAGAGCTGCACCCAGATTGGTTGCTGGTCTGGCTTCTAGTGGCCAATATCTGTCGACCCTCATGCCTGGAAGGTGAGTGCGTGTGGCTGTCTTCAGGTTCTTTCATATCGCTTATAGCACACCTAGAGTTGTACTTGAACAGCCGGGGCTCACGCGTCCACATAGAGGGATTCGGCCAGGCAATTTCGGAGTATTCAAGAATCTCTAGTTCTTGTCAGTAAGGCTTGTACGCTAAAGCGATTCATAGCACAACTGACGGATAGGAGCATGCTGGAAAGCAAATGCGATGACTTCTTTCACACGTTCGAAGGGGGGCGACCGGTGCGGCCGCGAAAACCCTTCAGCAATTACTACCCTGATCCTGCCGTAGAGTTCACCAGCATCCCAATGCGGCTGCTTCAGGATTTCATGGTGGAACGTAGGGAAACGGAGACGATCTTGGTTGCCGCTTTTATCGACATCTGGGCCAAATCAAGTCAGGACGCTCACTCAAACAGCAGAGGGCTAGAAGGGACTTCTGAAACGCACAGGAACTCAGATCTAAGCCGGCAGCGTCATCTCAGTCAGCTCTGCTTGCATGTCACGTACGGCTCGAGGACATCCAAGACTTACCGAGAACATGAGGCCAAGGGGATCTCTGAGTAAGCACACTACCGCTACAATCTATTAGCAAGCACGGCTTCGAACAAAGGAGCCTGCAGGTGACTGAAGACTGCTTACGACACGCAAAGCCCGTCGATGAAGACGCGGACTTCGAAGAGCAATGTATCATCTGGCTGAAGAAGACTTTCCATGAACCGGCTAGGCACAGGCCTATCCCAGCTATGAATGGACACCCGAAAAGGAGTATTTTGGCGCAAGCTTGGGATGAACGTAGTCAAAACCGGCAACTGTCCCAGATTGCCATGTGTTATGGAGCATGAGGCTGGGTTAATAAGGGCTGGGCTGTGCAGGTAGGGAGATTCTGCACGGATTTTAGCAAAGAACGCACACATGCATCTGACCGCAAACTTCTTCAGCACTACTGACCTTTGTCCTTGGTGACAAAACATTGCGTCTTGAATTCCTGGAGAGGCACCTTGGAAGTTTCAGGGAAGATAAGCACATCCCAATTTTCGTAGCGCATATTGAAACTTCTTGTCGTGGGTATCTCTATTCGGGGGGAGGGGTGAGGGACGAGGGGATGGACAAAACTGAGCAAGGAAGAATCGACGGATAGTAAGATATGTCAAGTATAAAGACCCTCCTCAACCGGTGGCTTTATTGAGGAAGACCCAAGAGCAGGCCTGCGATTGAGATGAAGAGCAAGTATAAAACGAGATGACAGAGTGGAGCTGCAGAGACAGAAGGGGAGTAAAGAGAAAGAGAAAGAGAAAGAGAAAGCAATAGACCAAGGAAGGAAGGCGGGAGGAGGAGGCGGAGGAGGCAAGGTCGGTAGGACAGATAAGCTGGAGATAGATGGAACAATAAGCATTGGACAATGGACAATAGACAATGATAGTGGGCACGCAGAAGCAGGAGAAGCAGAAGAAGCAGGAGCAGGGAGCAGGAGCAGCACCTGCCTTGATCAGACACTTTCTGGCAATTCTATGGGAGGTCAACTCAATCGATGCTTAATTGGTACCAGGTAGACAGGCATCTATACGTATCGCGTTCCATATACTATACTACATAGGGGATTGAGTTCAGCCCCCGCGAGCCAACATATCGCGACTTCGACATGGCAGGTAACAACAGCTATAATGGCAAGAACGACATCAGCAGCAGAAGGCCAGGACCAGAATCCTGTCAGGCGAAAGGGGAATCATCCGCATCGCAAAAAGTCAACAAGAAAAAAAAAAAAAAAAAAAAAACGAAACCATATTACAACAAAGCAAGTTCAGTGCCCCAAGGCCAGGCCCCATCCGCCAGACCTCCCCATTTTCCCCATGGCGACTACAGATTAGACCAAGAAGCAGGCAAAGCCATTAAAGCCCATCACTCCGAATGCCAAGTCATAACGCTTTGCGAAGACAGTCAAGAGAGGGGACGACGACACAGATCAAAGATATTCGTTTATGACACCGTCGCGCGCGAGAGAAAGCATCGAAGCATGTATCGAAAGCGGTATGTTCCATGGGAAACAGAATTGAAGGAGCAGATGGCGACATTGCCGCGACGGGATAATGTTATACAAGCCCCCAAATTGATCAGAAAGCACAGCGCGACATCCTCAGAACGAGACACTTGATTGGATTGCTTCATGAAAGGGGAATCTCAGATAAACTTTTCGCAAAAAGCCTGCCCAGGGAGTATATGGGAACCAATGCGCAAATGAAACAAATCCGATTGCTGTCGTACACATAAGGATAAGACCTGTGGAGGCCCATAAGACATGATAATCAATGTAAGATAGGGGTTGAGAGACGCATTGGAATGGAACAAAACGCATACAACAAACTGGATGAGAGGGGAATTGAAGGGGGAGGTAAGAAGTAGAAACATCAAGATAAAATAGGATAAGATATGATAGAAATAGAAACAGAGCTCAAATGCTGCTAACGGAAAAATAAAGCGCTCGCATATGAAGTACGTAGCACAGGAGGAAATGCTCATCCAGAGCTATAGAGGGTAACTTTCGCAGAAATAATAGCAGACTGGTTATGACACACAAAAGAGACCCATCGTGAAATGACGCAAAACTCCTGCTGTTTCTTTCAAACTAAAGAGGAACGCTCTTTTACTAGACATTGGAGTCAATAAACCCAGGTCCGAGTGCTGCCAGGGCCGCTCACTGGGGGGAACTGACCTTCATAGGAGCAAAGCCGCCGTACTGGTGTGCGGGGGGCATGCCCATCGAAGGGTACATGGGAGGCGGAGGGGGAGCAGGACGGTAGGGGCTGCCAGCAGGGCCAGAGTTGTTCTGGGAGCGACCCCAGCTCAAGCGGACACGGGAGTTACCGATGGGGTATCCCTGCATCTGGTTGATGGCCATCTCAGCGGCGTGACGCTGAACGAACTGGACAAAGCCGCAACCCTTTCCAGGGGGAATCTTGACGTAGGTGATCTCGCCGAATCCCTGGAAGAAAGAGCGGAGCTCATCCTCAGTGACATAGCCAGACAGACCACCGACGAAAACAGTGGTGTTGTTAGGGTCGGTGAACTGGTTCATAGGCTGGGGAGCGCCGTAGAAGCCCATAGGGGGAGCACCCATGGGAGGGTACATGCCCGGCCCGGCGGGCATACCCATGGCACCAGGAACAACGCCAGGTCCCTTGTTCTTGGGAGTGGCGGTGGAGATGCGCATGGGGCGGTTACCACAGTAAACACCCTGCATCTCGCTCAGGGCACGCTGCTGGTCGTTCTCGTCGGAGAAGCGGACGAAGCCATAACCACGGGACATGCCGCTGATGGGATCGGTCATAATCTTAGCCGACTTGCAAGACGGGAAGCGGCTCTGGAAGAGAGAGACGAGCACGTATTCGTTGACCTCGGGGCCAAGGTCGCCGACGAAGATGGAGTATTCGGGACCACGGTCATCACGGCTAGGGGCAAAGTTAATCCAGACGTGTCCACATCGTGTCGAAGGATGAAGGCACTTACCTGCGATCAGCGAGACCACCACCGGTAGCCCAATTAAGCTTGAACAGGCGGTTGGTGTTGGGCATGGGGGTGCCGTTGAGGGACAGAGCCTTGGCAGCAGCAGCGGGAGAGGCAAAATCGACGAAGCAGTACCCAGCGTTGCTCCTACTACCAACATTAGGATCGCCTTCAATCCAAAAGCATTTATGCATTACTCACCCAGAGAACTTGTCCCGGATCATCTTAACGTTGACCTGCTCACCCATCTGGAACCACAAGTTGCGAACGAAGTTCTCATCGATCCAGGGCTCAAGTTCGCCCATCCTAAAGCGATTCGGTGAGTTTGAGGACATGCCTTTCGCGGAGTTTGACTAGACATACCAGAGGGTAGTCTTGCCCTCATTAGCCTGCTGGGGAACAGGAGCAGCATTGGGCTCACCGGGAGCAGGTCCCTGGAAAGCAGCAGTGCTGGGATCAGCCTGGCCGGTCATGGTGGTATCCGCAGTAGCGGGAGCACCAGGAGCGGCAGCAGCAGCATCAGCAGCAGGGTGCTGGTTTTGGAAAGATTCAAAGTTCTGGAAAGACATATTGACGTAAAAATTCGACTTTCGTAACGATAATTGCGGCAACGGTATCTGCGCAGTGACAAGTTTAAAGTTAGTAAACTGAAACCCCAATTCTCAAGCTCAAACAATAGCACTCTTCGAGCGACCACAAGTAAGATGGAGGCAAAGATCATCGTACCTTAAAGTGCAGGCGGAAGGAGAATGGACTCAAGCGAAATCAACTTTTCTATACCGAAAATGGCCCGTGCGACAAGGGGTTCGTTCAAGTCGTCAAGGAGTAAGACGTAGGATCGTTCAATTTTGGGAAATGATTGAGATAAATCACTTCCTGGAAAGTCAAGGACCTTTTGTTAGCGATGCGGGATAGAGAACTAGACAAGGCGACAGAGTTTTCACAACAACTCATGGATTGGTGTGAACAGCAGTGTACCAAGCAGGGAAATGAATCAAATGACAACAAAGACCATGCAAATAACAGAAGGACGCAAGTTAAAAGCGAGACATGGACAAGCCAGTAAACAAGGGAATCAGCAGAAAACGAGACGATGGGATTGAGAAAGTCTTTGTTGTAGGGCGAATCGATGGGGACTTTTTTTTGGTTTCGAGCGGATCAAGCGAGAAAGGATGGAAGAGGATAGGTAACAGGAAAGGGATCAGCCCGACAGGGAATTCGCTCCCTTCCTGCGCCAAGACTCAGGTTCCCTCCCCGGTGATGGCAGCGGAATAGCCGGAAATGTGAAATTTAGGGTGTGAATTGACAAGAACCGGAATGGCGAGTATGCTCGAGGTCATTGTGTGAAGATAGCTGGAGCTTTCAACCCGTTCATAGCCGCATTCGTCGATGACATATCCCGAATTTCTGGTTCATCCGCGCCCGGTTGCGACCGTGTCAATTGGCCCATCCAATCCTCCCTTCACTGCGCTACTCAGAACTGGGAGATAATCGAACCAAGCCGGTCAATGGCGACAATGGAGACGTAGCGATCTTCAGCGGAGACAGAATCATTCGAGCGACCGTTCAAGTCCGTCGGCCAAGCGACCGTAGCGATTAATGCCGCGGGCGCGTGGTGCTTCATCAGGAAGTAGACTCCGCAAAGGTTCTGCCTCCAAATTTATGCCCCAGATGTCCGCGAGCAGGTTGCTCGTAACGTCGACAACCATGTTGAGGGCGCTCGATGTTATATTGATCGTAGAGGGACACTTTGATAACCGGTGTGGCCGAAGTATCCCGCGCAAGCACCATCGATGGGGGGAAATGAAAACGTGATGACTCAAGCCAAGAGAGGATAGAACAGGCAAAAACAATAGATCCAAAAAAAAAAGAAAAAAAAAAGGATTTAATATCATAGAATATACACTACTTACCAGACAATGTCAAAAAATCGCAACGTATGTATTGGCTTAGAGACGAGAGATGCGTTGCTTTGGCGAGGCGCGAGTATGCGTGAAGACAGGGACGTCACAGAGAAATCAGGAACTGGACAATCGAGATAACTCCGACGAGGTGGAGAAGAATAGGAAGCAAATCCAAAGAGAAATAGTTAAGAGATGGAAAAGACACAGAACTATTCGCGAAACCGACTCCGTGTTTTCCGAAAAGCACACAAGGGAAAGGTGGAAGAACTCAAGAAGAGAACAGGGAGGACAAAAATGGGGTGGGGGGAGGGGAGGGAGAAGAGAGGAAAGAGGAACGAAGAAGGAAGAGGGGTAGAGAAGAAAAGATATTTCTTCAGAGGTTCCGATGGAGGAGGGGAGAGAAAGGGAAAGAAAGGGAAAGGAAACGAGGAAGAATGGCAAGAGGCTACGACTTTGCTAGGGCAGACCAAGGACGGGAGAAGCAGAGAAACTCGTTAGACGAACAAACGAACTAATTAATTCTTGGGGAAAATCAAACCTGGGTCCAAGAAAAGGGAAAAAAAAAATCAAATAAAATAAAAAGTAATAAGAAGAATAATAATAATAATAACAACAACAACAACAACAAAAAAAATTCCCATTCAATGGATCCTAAATAGGACAAACGGCTAGAAGTTAAGAATGAATAATCATAGGTGCTGACTGCTGAGGGCAAGGCGAACTCAACTCCAGGCTCTTATTTCATCAATTGCAGCAGCAGCAGCAGCTGTTGCCGTTGCAAGCAAACTACTCAATGGGTAACAAGCAACAAGCACCAAGCACCAAGCAGCCGCAGAAGGGAAGGAGAAGTGAGGAGGGGCGCAGCAGTATACTGTAAGTTACTGTAGACTACCTGCCAGCTGGGTGGGATGAAAGTTTGCCGACTACTACTGGAATAGTCATTTTTCTACCAAAATCTTCTCCTCCATTTGACTCTTCTTTGTTGGGTAGACAATCCTGGTTGAACCATCCCTATGACCGGTTCAGCAGCTGTGAGTGTGCATTGGGTGGGTGTAGATCTGGATTTCGACGTGCAGGTGGGATCGTGTGGCCTTACCGCAACCCAGGAGGATCTAGTGATAAGTCTAGTGCTGTAGGTACTGTACTAACTTACATACATCAGTACTCAGTACAACTAGTATTAGGTGTCTTTATGCAGTGACTTTGTTTGTATGCGGGTGTACAACCTTACAGGATGTATGTTTTAGCTTGTTCCACCTCCAATCGTGCTTAGTTTGAGGCTCATCAATTTGCACAGCACAATACATAAGCACTATCGTGGATGTAATTTAACCTGCACTCCGAGTATTCGAGAATTGGAGCTCTCCTCGTATCGAATTGTTGTCTCTCGCTATGATTGATTCACAGCAGATTTTCCATCGAAGAAATTTTAATATCCCCCGTTTTGTCTTGATGAATCCAGGCAAGCTTTGCGGGCCCTCGACTGGTGAGATCAAGGCTCTTGAAGGGACCATACATACCTGGACTATACATACGGGTATTGGGAGGCTGTGGTGGATACCTACGTCGACCATCGGACCCAGCCCAACCAAATCGCCCTCCAACCAGATGACTGCCTGCATCCTGCGGGCTTGCGACTTGACATGATTCTTATTTCTATCGCACGCGACATTTTTGTCCCCCGGTCTCATGTCCCCAGGTGGTAGGGAGAGTGTGCTGAATGATACAATTGCTTTCCTGTATATCGTTGACAACTCAGAGCGGTGCATTTTCGCTAAGCGAAGTAGGAAATGAAACAACGATAGCTTGAAGGAGCCAATACCCGTTATCTTGAGATGATCCCCGATTGTGTAAGATTAGCTGCAGCAGATGAGCCCGTCGAGAATTTGATGACGATTGGCACCTCTCACAGATATAGGGTGGTGTTGCATCACGTTTTGAGTCCTTCTCGAGCACTGCTCACGATGTGTGTAGCATGATCCTAGCGCAAGGAGAGAGCGAGAGAGAAGAGGTGGGGAGCAGACAGTGGCTGGGTCCGATCCCCTTGATATGTGCATACTCATATGTACTGTACAAGACCTGGAGGACTCGGAAGCACATCAGGAGTCAAGGGGCACGCAAGCAGATAAGTGATTGCACTTACATAGTAATACTTCTGGCAGCATATCACAAGAAGAGAGAGTACCGGTAGGCATTAGTGAGGGCAAATGGCCAAGCAAAGCTGTATGGAACCTGCAAGGACCTGACTTGAATGATGTATACTCGGTGGATAACCCACCCAAGCTGAGACTGCTGAGGTCTTTTTCTTCCTCCATTCGTTTTGCTTGATTTTTTATAGTTTTTTTTCTTTTTTTTTTTTTTTTTCCCTTTTTTTTTTTTTTTTTTTCGGCAACGCGCTATGACTCGCCCGGTCCCATTCGCGTCCCATGGGCCCTTATCGTCATGAGTTTTGTTCCATTCTCCGCTTGGCCTGGCGGATGCCTGAGGTACTCTGTCATTCGTAGATCGGTTTCCGCTTGCAGCCTAAATCCCACCATTTGTTCCTTGGGATCGGCCCTGAGCTGTGCCCTAGGCTAGTTCATACTTGTCCACACCCGGGAGCCGGAAGCCTGGATGAAGCCGACGGGGCTGGAGAAGATGCCCACTAACCACTTGAATGTATTCCCTATACATATACCAAGGGAAACAGATGAAGACATGGTACTTCGTATGGTCATCGTGATCATGTTGAAACGAAGAAGAACAGAAGAGACAAAAGTGGAAGCAAAAGCGCCCGGACTGCCCGGTTGGGGGAGGGTGCAAATGAAAGGGCGAAAAAAAAATCCTCGCCCCCACCAATGCGGTTCCGGTCCATGGACTTGAGAGCTGCTAATGCTCAATCCAGATGACGAAAACCCTCAGAGAGGGTTAGTCACCGCTGAAGTGCATTCGAGAAGTACAAAAACCATGTGGTTGTGGATGGTTCCTAGCACGGGGGCGTTGGCTAGTAGGCTAGAATCTGGAGTCTAGCACGCTGTCCGAGATACAAATGGTTCTTTGTCGAGATCCCAGAATCTGAGCGGATTAGCTACTCAGGCCAGTGCTTTATTGACTGCTGATTAGCTTCAAACTCAATAATTTCGTGGTAGGGTAATACTCGTACAAAGATCATCACTAATAGTAAGAGAGGAATTAGTGCAGAATATGACTAAGTACCGCCGGAAAGATACAGGTCAGTCGAGGCCGTCCGTTGGTCCATGCAGCAGGATCGGTGAATTCGATGATACATGTAAATGATACTCGTAACAAGGATTAATACTGATCGTACTTGAGCCACATTCGATTTGAGGTTGCAGAAATGAGTCTAGAGGCTTCGAAAAGATCAGTTACTTTGGGGAGCGGTTAGCTAGATGTGAGTACAGTCCATCAATCAATTGTAAGTACTCTGCTGAGCATACTCATGTGTGCAGTAGGCAAGTAGTTAGGTAATATGAGGCAGACTCCACACCCTCCAGTGCCCGGACCGTGGAAACTGCCTCCATGAGGCTCTCATTGGCCACCGCTGTGTGTAATCAATCTGGTTTTAAGGTGTATGGAGTAGACTATCCATAGTACCGTAACCTACCTTACTCTTACTCTGCACCTAACACCCCTCCAACACGAAGTGTCTCGAGACAACTAGATGACCGTGGCATATTTAGCTTCTGTGTTTCATCCACAAGAAGTAGGTATAATCGTACTTATTTTGACAACCAAATCCATGATACATGTAGCACCCGAACTGAATCTCACCGTCTCCTTTCACCGACGAGAGGTAAAATTCCTACAAAAAGACGGACACGGACGCGACGTGATCAGTCGATAGCAGAGTGCGAGTTTTTCCTCTGGCCCATACAAACTTGCCATGATGCATCCTACTCTCTATTCAATTCTCTCTTATCTCCCTGTATCTGCACACTCTGGCATGAGCAAGGGTGCATCGGACTGTACTGTCCTACATAGAGGACAAGCACCCAACGCCCCATCATACTACTTATACATACTCAATAATCATTGAGACGCGCAAGGCTGATCCTATTGGTACGGTCCTCATTCATATTGACCCGATCGAGGATTTGCCATGCGAGTATTGCAGCACAACCAAGCCCGAATCGAGTGGTGCGACTGTGCTGTGCGTGCTTCCTTTCCCCCTTGAAGTGGGTTACACGATCATGCCTGGGTCAGCAGTCGATCCCTTGCAGGGCAGATAACTTCCCTCCCTGGAGAATTCAAAACCAACCACTCCCAAAACCCCATCGGGAGATGCTCGGATTTACTGACTAAGCCAATGCTGTGAGTAGACAGATCTTTATAAATGATAGTATTGGACCTACTGCTATTGGAGGTACTCCGTAGCCAGATTCCATTCACCAGACAATCAGTGAGTTAGTCTCGTAGAAAAAAAAAATTGTTTCATTGTCTCGCAGCACGAACTCCGCTGTCTCAATTCTCCATCGCGGTTGTCTGGAATGGGAATTGCAGAAACCATGGGTTGAATATGATCTAAGAGGGTTTCGTAATTCTCAATGCCGGTAGTTCAAGCAGTACCAGGGACCGGCAGGTCATGACCAGTAGACTATTCCCGTAGGGTACTGATATGCAGCGCAATCGGAACCCCGACAGCCAACAACGACAACCCACGAGTACGTATCGTGTCAGGTTGGGAAATCTGGGACGTGTTCGACACGACACGTTCAGCAGATTCTAGCTCCAGCTATTATCCTCCGCTGACCAGGCTTGTACCTGCGTGCCAAGTCCAAGTCCCCTATTGTGCTGCTGCTGCATTGAATCAGCACAATCCAGGCATCGCTAGATGCTCACATCCTGATATCTGCCTGGTCAATCAGGTCATCCGGGTATCACTAAAAGCCAAAACACTGATGAGTAGATAAAAAGTCTTGATGACCCTGACCCTATGAAAAGCATCAAGTCTCAATCAATCTGCCTCGGCATCCAACAATCCATCGCATTGGCCGCCTCCCTCTCCAGCCGCCATATCAGTATCACAGAACTCCCCAGTATCCGCCTGGCCCAACTCATCCCCAAGCAACTGAATCGTCTTCTCATACACCTTGGCCGTTTCCATCTCCCACCTCCCGGGGATCGGATACTCATCCATCCCCAACGCATCATCCATCAACTCATCCTCATCATCCTCATCATCGTTCCCACTACTATCCCCAAACCCATTCCTCCCACCGTCATCATCATCGCCAAGGTCCTCCTGCTCCCTCGCCTCCACAACCACAACCCGACAGGTCTCCGCAATACTCTTGATACGCACCTTCTCCGTCATCGAGACAACGTTAGTCCTTGCCTCAAACCCGGGCAGCGGCGCCCCAGAGTCCACATCCTCCCCCAGAAGGAGCGACGCAAAGACCGAGTCCAGCTTCCGCAGCAACCGGAACGTTGCCTTCGCCGCGAATGGATAATCCGGTAGATAAGAGTTGACCTGGACGGCCAACGAGATCAGGTAGGGGATCTGTAATGAAGCTAGAAACACACCACGCAAAAAACAAACAGCAGCAGCACATGTCAGCTGTCAGCCAATATGAGAACGACTCTTTCTTCCGCTGCTGCAACCCAGAAGAAAGAAAGAAAGAAGGGAAGGTAAAGACATACGAGTCCCACTAACCCACAAAACATCCACCAAACTCTCAAAGTCTTTCGCTACTTCCTTAAAGCTCTCGTAACCCCTTTCCGACTCGGACTCCGGTGCTATGCGCTGGCTGTTGCTGCCATTGCTGTTCTTGTTGTTGTTGTTGTTGTTGTTGTTGTTGTTGTTGTTGTTGTTGTTGTTGTTGTTGTTGTTGTTGTTGTTGTTGTTGTTGTTGTTGTTGTTGTT